TGATGTAAGGAATCAATAGATTACATACCTAGAAATTTTGCCAACAAACACGACTATTAAAATGCTAATTTATTCAATAAAAAAATAAAAAACAGCTCCTTTCTGGTTTATCGAATATATTATTTAGTTACACTACTGCGAATTATTAAATTAGCATTTTTTCCGTTTCGTTTGTGGAATATTTTGCCATTCTTAATAAAAAATAAAATTGTTTACATGGGAAGATTTTTTAAATAAACATGTTGGAAATATTCATTTAAAAGAAAATAAATTAAATTGTTTTAAAAAACAAGAACAATAATTGTTAGTTATTAATAGTATATTTAATATACTATATTATGTATCAAGTTTGCGCCATTTAAGTTATGAATTTTAATTCGGCACGAGCGAGCCGGCGAGCGAATGTTTAATTAAAGTTTATAGTTAGGTATTATACTTTTTCTACAAAAAAATACTAAACTAAAACTGATTTTAATTAAATATATATAGAGCGACATCTATAAAAAATAGAGTAACAATTTCTAACTTGGGAATCTGTTTTACCGGCGCGATCTAACAACCGTTTACATGAGGATATAGAAGCAGTTTTTCACAGTGAAAGTTAAGAGAATGTTTTATGGGCACTTCACGGTGGAGTCTCCACCCGAAATTTTTAATGCTTTTAGTTAAATCTAGTTACTGCCGGCAAAATAAAAAGGTTAGTACAAACTTGCAAATAAACTTTTCAAATAGATATTGGCGTTGAGAAACTATTTTATATTTTTTGTTTTTGTATTAAAATAATAAAATAATTTCTACATTATTATTTCACAAGAAGAGCACTTTATTTTTAACGATTGTATGACATTTGTCAACTTTCAACTTAAAGATAACTTCAGCCCGTGGCCAAAATTCTGTTGCCAACTTCAGCCAGTGACTAAAGCGCCATAAAGCCATTGCTAGTCAATGTGTATTTAAAAGATCACTTAGTGTCATGAAAACATGTACGATAATGGGCGTGGTGGTGGAGTAGAGAAAAGACTTTAAAGCCCTCTAGCGGGTAAACGATGAAACGGGTAAGGTTATTGCAGACCTGTGGGTTATTGTAAACGTATTTGCCAGACACCCAGTATAATTTTATTCTTTGATATGGTTTTAATTATCAAGGTAATATCAAGTTAAATATAAAAATTATCTATTTTAGACTGTAGTAAGGGCGCCAATTTTATTTTCCGTAACAAAACAAATAAACCGCGTTTATAAGATTATGTAGAGGTCGATTTGACAATTTAAAATTTTAATTTTATTTTTAGCTTTGAAGCACTTGTTGATTTTTTTAAATGCAAATCTCAGGGTAATTCCGCTTTGAAAATAGAATGACTTTGTTTATATTTTTGTAGTGCGTAGTTTTTTCACATTGAAAAATACAAACACAAATAAAAGTTGATTTTGCCGAGTCAAGAATTTTTACTGTTTTTAAAATAAAAATGATAAAAAATTGCAACCTAGTTTTTAGCACAAAAATTAATAAAATGATTTTATATTTTTTTAATATTTCTTATTATTATATACAAATAAAAGCATTTAAAATTAAAATACTCGGAAACACTGTTTATTTCCTAAACGGCCATTTCAAAAAAGATTTATGTTGTCCCGTCCACACCTGAGAGTAGAATTATTTCTACTTTTATAAAATATTTCTTGGGTTTTTTAGCCTAATAAAAGAAGAATATTTTTGACAATTTTGATGCCAAAATATTATACAATAAATTACCTACAATTTTTGTTATAAAAACAGTTTTGTGATTTTTTTTTGTATTTGTCCCGTCCGCATGCCTAAAACACCGAAATGTTTTACATTTTAAAACTGTTGTTGTGGAAACAAAATAAACAAGGCATAATTGACATATTATTTTCTGAAAATTGTGTAAAAAAATTAAAAATTTAAATCATAATAACTTTTACTTTACTGCCAATTGAATACGAGTATTGTATGCAACTCATTATACATTTTAAGATGTGTCTACTGCCCTCAGCACCAACTTAATAATATTTAAAAAAAAGCACCGTCGTGGAGGTCGATTGGACCCTTTTATAAAATGTTGTTTAATACAAATGATTAATAAGTTAATTTTATTAATTAGATTAAAAAATCGCCGCGGCGGGCAAATATATAGTAACCGTCGCAACAAACAGTATACGCAGACACTTCCTACATTCAAATGACATTTGATTTAATCATCAATATTCAAAAAGGCTTTGTTATCTATGATCAATATTAATTATTAGTATTATTAAATGTGATTTCGGATAAAATTTAATATTCACCTCGGCATTAAAATTATTTTAAATAAAAAATACGACTTTACTGCCTTGATACATAAATAACTATTATATAAATAAAAAGTCCAAAATCAAAATGAGCCATTTTCGGGACACCCAAAATAAAATGTTTAATAATGCCTTAAAATAAATAAATTATATCGTATTTCAAATATTTTCTTTCCAATAATTATTACAAACTGCAACTTTAGATATTTTATGACACAATTGCGTAATTATAATATTTATTAATTTAATTATCCATGTCAGTAGTTTTAGTATGACTACATTCAATTAAATGTAAATACAAATGCTCGTTTCCTGAGTCTATTAAATATAACAATATGAATAAAACAGTCTTATGAAATTGAAATATAAGTTTTAGAAGGAAAACGTTCAACCAACACCACTAACAATAAAGTTAAAGTTAGCCACGTAAAAGTATAGTAAGTATTGCCAACGTATCCAAAACATACATAGCTATCATGATTTATTAATATTCCAACAAAAATTAAGGATTAGTTTCCTTGCATAAAAATAGGAAAAACGTCAATTTTTGAAAACGAAATTATTTTTCATTAAAAATAACAATATCAAGAGAACGTGTTAAATAGTATATTAAAGAACTAATGTCATAAGACGTCATTTTGTCGCACGCGGACAATTTATAAAACGAGCGAAGAAGAAGCGAGTTTTGTAATGGACAAGTGCGACATGCCGTCCTTAATTTACTTATTTAAAATAAGCGGCTGTTAATGTTAAAGAAGAAAAAAATTATTTTCTTTGGTGTTAAACCAAATGTATTGCCAGAAAAGTCTCGTAAGTACTAGAAAAATCATAAAAATATTATAACCAATATATTCTCAAAATATTATGCTGTTTAAAGTATAGCCAACGTATAAAATCAAAATTTTGGGTGGGATAAAGTATCTCATTACAGCACCGAAAGCGGTGTTATAATGAAGTCATTATGAACGCAAAATATATAGATAAAATATTTTATTTTAATTTTGCATTTAAAAAACCCTTACATTTTAGGTAGTGTTTTAAAATTTCCGAAAAAAACAAAAATTTAAAAAAAAATAACTTTTGAATTTTTCTGTACTATATAAAGGACCAATTGGAATGTTTTTCCCATTTTCTAATTTTTTTAGAAAAATTTACTTTTTTAGATGCAAAAGTCAATTTTTCTGCAAATTTTACAATTTTTCTGTGTAAAATGCTATTATGCACAATTATTTTCCTGCAAATGGGCAATACCATGATTGCGAAGGGGACAAGAAAAAAAAAACCAAAATGTTTAATAAAAAAAGATGTGTTGTTCCTATAATAATAATTTTATGCGTCCTCAGCAATGAAATTAAGTAATATTAACCATTATAAAATTATTATTATATGAACAACACATCTTTAAAATTTTCATAAAACATTTTGTCTTGTTTTTGTTTGCCCCGTTAGTAATCATGGAATCGCAGAAATGTCCTTTTTCGGAAAAATTGGATTAAAATAAATTTATGAACGGCCTTATTAAAAAAAACAATTTTTCAAAGGCTCGGGAAAAACGAAAATAGTATATTAAAGAACTAATGTCATAAGACGTCATTTTGTCGCACGAGGACAATTTATAAAACGAGCGACGAAGGAGCGAGTTTTGTAATGGACGAGTGCGACAAAAAGTCTTATGACATGAGTTCTTTATGCTATTTTATCTATTTTGCAAACATTTCATAAAACAAATTAATTTTATACCTTATATTTAATTTGGTCGAATTTTACTTTACATAGTTGGTATCTCAGTTTGAAGTTTGAAAGTTCATTAACCTTTCAAACATTATCACATTCTTTCGCTATAGCGTCCTTAATTTACAATAAGTATTTACAATAAGCGGCTGTTAAAGAAGAAAAAAGGATTTTCTTTGGTGTTAAACAAAATTTATTGCACGAAAAGTCTCGTAAGTACTAGAAAACAAATCATAAAAATATTATAACCTATAGGTATTCAAAATTGTATTTTACCAGTAGCCAACCTATAAAATCAAAATTTTGGGTGGAATAAAGTACCTCATTAAAGAACCAAAAGCGGTGTTATAATGAAGTCATTATGAAACCAAAATAGATAAAATGTATTAAATGTGTATATTTTATATTTTTAAGGCTCGGGAAAAAACAAAAAAAAAGTATTTTCCCCAATTTTTCCGGTTTTTTTTTCGACGCCTTACAACTCTTATTTTAGGCATGTGTGTATTTTTCCCTTAATTTAAAAGTATGAAGAGAAATTTGTTTTTCTTAAAAACTTTGCGAGATGCGAAAAACAAACAGTAAAATCTGGAATATCTAAATTTACATAAAAAGCCGACTATAATAACAATTATTGTTTTAAACACATGAGAAACAAAATAAGGGTTTTCCAGGTACTAGGAATAAAAAAAATGAAAATGGAAACTAGATATATGGAATTTTTTTTCTTATTTCCATGCAAGGAATTACACGGATTTTTTTTGCAATATTATTGAATCGATCAATCAATTTAAAATCACAATAATACACAAGGAAGTTTTTTAAAGATTTTTTAAAATGTTAAATCATGAAACTTTAATACAGACCTGCTAAACAAAAAGAACCTAATATTCCGTTTTTTGTGACACATATTGCACGGTTATTTTGGTAATACACCTTTTTGCAAATAAAAAAAATAAAATAAAAATATCATGGTATTTATTTAACAATAAAATAGGTATAATTTATAGGCTTTGCAACTAAAACAAACAGAATATATAAAAAAGTTTACATCATCTACTGGTTAACATATATACAGAAAAAACATGAACCTTGTAAAATTTAATCGTATTTTGATTAAAATCATTGCCTAGCAAACTTTAAAGCTATGCATCACATATTTACTTAGTTTCCTTTTCCAGCCATATTTAATTTTAAATCAGCTCTGGCAGTTTTATCTTTTTCTATAGTTTACACTACCAAGTTCTAATATTAATAAACTAATAACATATTTTTGTAGGCTTAAATACTTAAATGTTTATATTAAAATCACTGGTCAATAACCAACCATTTTTCATGAAGCTGTTCAACCTGTTGCGTTACTATTGGATGGCGTAATCTAAGACGTACTTCAAGCTTTCCACCAACTTTTTTCCTCCCTTCCAAAAGCTTAAAAACATCAAAAATGTATCAAATTTTTAATTATTTATATCTCAACTCAAGCCCAGAAACTTTTTTAGAAAATATAAACTTTTCTAGAATTATGCTCGGAATTTTTACTTTGCCTGATTTATATAATATATTATATATTATATTATTATATTATATATTGCCGCTAAACTCACAAAGTGGCGTATCTAAAGATTTGCGTCATGCAAAACGTTTATTCCAGAAAAACGTATCTGAAGATTCGTGTTATGCAAAAAAGAAGCATAATACACATATTCAGTTACGCCACTTTGTGAATTTAGGGACGATATGTGTGTTTTAAACATGAGTCTTAAGTGACTGGGCTTTTTGTCTTGTGGCACTTACGTCGAAACTTTCGTGTAGTTCGCATTGAGTCTCCAGGGGTTGCAGTTTGACGTTGACGGTTCCGAGGAGGGTATCGCTTCTGAACCATCCACTGAAACATTCGCACATGATGCCAGCGCAGCAGCTAGCAAAACCAAATATATGGCACCACGCTTATTCCGAGCAAAAATCACCTACCAGACATGATCCAACACCAAAAGCGCGTGAAAAAGTTTTTTTTTGGAATGCAGAGAACAATAGGCATTCTGGTAATTATTAATTATGTTAAGTGATTGTCACGAAAATTTAATACATTAAGTTACCTTACATACATATAAAGGGTGTTATGTAATTAATGTAATATAATATATTATTAAAATGGGTGGTTCCTTAGGGTCCATAAAGAAGCACCTAAAACTTTTTTTCTAAATTCTAAAAATAATTTGTAATAACCTTTATCCTACCAAAAAGTACGCCACTGATCATTTAATTACAAAAATGAAAAAATCAACAATGCAAATTGTTAATATTTCGTTTTTATTAATTGTTGATTATGTCTTTTTTTTAATGAAGGTAAAATCAAACAAAATCTGGCAACTTTTATGATCTTATGATCTAGTGCATTTTTTTTCAAATTTTAGGTTATGTGCTCAAATTGTAAATATCTTAACTAAGGAAAGTGCTTTTGGATTTATTTACACAAATTGAATATTTAAAGTTTAATCTGTGAACTTGTCCTAATTTCATCTGAGTAAACAGAAAAAAAAACGATGAAAAAATTAATTTTGTGGTTATGCAGTTTTTAAAATAGGTACTAAATTTTTTAATCATTGCTTAAGCTAATAGCTGGATGAGTAAATAAATACAGAAGGGTATTAGAGCTTTAAAGCCATACAATTGTAAGTTAACTTTTGTATTTATTTATTTTTGCAAGAAAAATGTTTAGTAAGAATTTTTTACAACCGGCAACATTCAGCTACTTTGTTGGTGTGTAACTATGTACTCACAGAACACAAGTGTGTAACCAGTGGCGTATCACAAAAAATATAAAAAACTTCTAATGCACATTTTTTTTTATCTTTGGAAAAATATTTTTTTAATAGTATATTACACTACAAGGGCCGAAAGTTGAATTTTCGGCCCTGCACGTCATGATGCCCGAGGCGAACGTTGGCCCGTGTGGTGTATACTATTTTTCTTCATACATCGGTCGAAAGTACTTAATTTCGTCCCTAATAGCAGGGACGAAAGTTTACCTCGGTCGAAAGTTCGTACTTTCGTCCCTAATAGCACAGGCAGTAAATGTTAAACTTTCGTCCCTGCTATTAGGGACGAAAGTAAGTACTTTCGAACAAGGTATGAAGAAAATATTTTTCCGTTACACCTTATGTCAAAAGGTTTTCAGTATTTTAATATATTACATTAATTACATAACACCCTGTACAAGATTTACCAAAAAGATTTTGAAAAACTTAAAATTTTGCATACAGGTTGTCCCAGAAATGGTCAAATAACGCCATATTTTAAGCTTAAAAAAGCAAAATAAAAAAGTACAATTTTTAGTGTAGAAATAAACATTTTAAGACAATAATAATTATTATAAAAATTGTTCAAAAAAACTAAATATCAATGAAGGTGGTCGTTATTTGGGATATTTTCGATTTTTTTTACAATCATCTAATCGGTTTTGAATAAATTTAAAAAATCTGACAAATTCTGACAGATCTTATTATTAATTAATATTAACCTTGCCCCACGGCAGTCAAAGTTGTATATAGGAAAGCACTTGCATTTTTTAAAATAAAACTTTGGTAATAATTGTAAATGTAAATGACAAATCAAAGGGTGCATTGGAATTTTTTTTCAGTTATTTTCCTACTTCTAGACATAAAGTAATTTTTGTTTTCAATTGTATGCTATTTAGCTCAGTCAAATAGTGTGTACTTTAAAAAAATCCCAGGTAAGATGTTCTTGTATGGGCATTATTAATAATGTTCCAAGCGAACTCATACTGGCGCACTATGGTTTTTAGTTTTTGGTAATTTGTTATGTTTTATAAAAAGTTTTAGATTAATTTTGTTTTAACTTTATTAATGATCAAAGTAGTATATTTTTAAAACAGTAAATTCGGATTAATATAACGCTTATATAAAATACACGAAGTTTTATAAACGATCTTAGGAAGTATAATTTTTTTTGTAAATATGTTTAAAGTAATTTTTTGATGGTTAAAGAATAACCATTTTAATAGTAAATTAAATCTAAATTAAAAAGGACAAGAGGGTAAATTTTAAAAAAATATTGTTTTCATATAACAACAACCTTTTGCGACATTTCCAATAATTTTAACACCAAATTGTTCAGAAAGCTTTCCTTTATAAGTATACCAAAAATTAATTGCATATAAAAAAGTTAGTGATTATTTTTTGCGAGACATGCCTAAATCGCGGTAGCTCGTACTTAACCAAAGATTTACATGCATATATATATAGACGTCTAGTTATACATATACGATTTTAGGAACTAATTTTTTTATAAAAATATTTAATATGTATCAAATTTTAAAAATTAATTAGTATTTTATAATTAATAATCCTTTTCGTACCTTCTTTTAAATAGTAATATAGGTATTTTATATAATAATATATTAAAAACAAATTTAATTATGAAAAATACATTTTGACATTGGGGTCATTCCACGTTACTCGGGGATTTTTGTCCCGCCCGTCACAATTAAAAATTGTGAGTAAAAACTCCACGTTATAAAATTTATTTTAAAATATTGTTTATTATGGTTTTACTAATTTATTAGCACAATAAAAATAATATTATAAAATATTAATTTAATAACTAGTGGTTTTTACTCACAATTTTTAATTGTGACGGGCGGGACAAAAATTACCGAGTAACGTGGAATGCCCCATTGTGCAAAAGAAGTAGGTATGCAAATTTTGTTTATATATCAATTTTTGTAATTATTTATTTTTTAAAGGTATTTTTTAGTACAATTTCTTTCTTTATTTAAAAAAAAATCTAATAAGATAATTTAAAATTGTAAACCAATTTATTAATAATTTCTTTACTGTGGATATTTATTTTTAATTAAACTATTTTTTTAATTATTAATAATAATTTAAAAAAATAAAAATGTTTATTTTTTTAAATTAAAATATACTTAATTATTCCTAATAAAACTAACTCAGGACACTTAAGGTGTAATTTTAAATTATTATTTCCGCAAATCATTGCTTAAAACGCATCATAAAATAAAACCTATATTTTTAAAATAAAATTAATTAATTAAATTAATTATACGTAATAAGTTTTGCTTAACAAAACGGTGATTTTTGACCATAGTGCGGCGTTGGCCAATATTTTAAAAATATATTTTGATAAAATGCTTCATGTCTAGCAAGTAAGACAATAATTGTCTAAAAATTTAAAGTAACTAAATTTGTGTAAAATTTAAAAAAACATGTGTTTTCTTATAGAAAACTGTGACTGCCGTGGGGGCCAGGTTAATTATAATTATTAATTAATAATTATTATTAATATTTTAAGGCATTTTTAAATGGGTTCTAATTGGAGTTTATAATGCTGTCTATTTTTATCTTTGTGCCATGCCCTATACTATTGTAATAAAAAAAATATATATTATCTACCATGAAAAAACAAACAAAAATACTCCAAATAAGGACCACCCTAATACCTTGGTACTTTAAGGCATGTTAATTTTCCTTTGCAAACTTTAAGTTTGTCGAATACATTTATTAAATCATCTATAGGACTTAATGATTGTTTCCACACAACCAGGATGAACCACATTCTAATAAGACAGGCTAATCAAATAAGATTTATATAGGGTGTCCTACCTTTTAAATTAAATCAGTTGATCTCTTATGTGCCCAGCGGCGTAACTAGAAAAAGTGCCGCCCGGGGCAGCAGTGACTGTCGCCCTCATGTTTTTTTTTTGGGGGGGAAGAGAGGTTAGGTTAGGAGTCAGTTTTGAGGACCGTACGCAAAATTAAAAACATATAATTATATATATAACATATATATATAACATTAAATTGTAATATTTTAATTAAAAACAAACAAAAATTCTTAGACCTAGGTAAAGAAAACAAAGAGATAAATTCTCAACCTTATGTAAAAGTACCTAAAAAAAAAACTTAAAACTGAGTAAAAAATAAATAAAAATGTTTAAATATTTAGAATACCGGTCTTGTTTCTATTTTTTGCTAGCTTTATTTGATTTGGAATATTTTGGGAGTAATTGTATAAATCTCAAATCTATTGGAATTTGAATTATAATATTTCGAAAGAGAATATTTAATTATCAAATATTTTTTTTATTTTTATATTCTGTCTTCCAGTTTTTTTCGCATTTTCTTTCACGATTTTTGCCGCCCCAAGAAGTGCCGCCCGGGGCGGACCGCCCCCCCCCGCCCCCCCTAGTTACGCTACTGTATGTGCCAATCAATGCCTGAAAAGTAATCAGATACGATTTACTAACTTTTTAAGGGCCTCATTGACTAATTTCCGATTCTTGTTTTAGCATTTCACTAAAAATTATATTTGGTAGTTAAAATTTCAAAAGTAAATATATTTAATAAAACCAGAAAAAAATCAATCTAAAAACAATTTTCCTGTAGAAATAAACTTCAGAAATGGACTGATTTATCCAAGGTGAATAATCAAACAAATTGGTATTATTTTTCAGAAAATATGGTATTTTAAATATCTAAGGTAAAACAATGTAAAAGTTTTCGTGACAAAATCATAAAAAGCTTGCACGCCAAATTATGTTAAGTAAAGGTACATTGATAGGCGGGTGATATAAATATTTTCATATAATTGGTAAAGCCGTTTTTTTTAAGTCGATATTTAGAAAACGAATAAATATTAGCTAGATATAAAAACATTCCAATATTAACAAGTGAATAAATAAATAAATAGTGCAATCAAGAATTCATTCAACGTTCGTGCGGCGTAAGTTTTTTTAGGGTTTGTGCCGCATTGTATTTGAATACTTAAATATTAAAAATGGTTGCAAAGCATAAAACAAAAAGAGTGCGCCCAAAATGCAAAATTATTAGAAGTGTAAGCAAACAAAACATCTATACAAATAATTAGTCTGGTAGTGGACAAAACAAACACTAAAACGTACCTTTTGGAGTACACTTCAAATTTAATAGCGTGCCTTTTGAAAACCCTCTGGCACGCCCTTGAAGTCCTTTGAATTGGAATGGTAAAAGTTGCGTTGTAATCCGGGTTATTTGTATCTTTTACGGTTGCGGTTAAATCATAATATGGAGTTTCCTAAATAATATAAAAAAAAAAATAATATAAGGTAACAATTATTTCAAATTGTTTTTTTACCTGAGGAAATGGGAAGGTGAATTTAACGTAAGTGTCAATGTCCTTGGGGTTTTCCGATGAATAGTTGATGCCTCTGACAATTAATAATTCCAAGTCATTGTCCGTTAGTTCCGTGAAACTTTTTACGATCGAGAAATCTTTGGTTTCGTAGTGGAATTTTGGCACTTTTGAGCCGGGTGTTCTGCGCGATAGCCGAACTATGTCCAGGTCTTTTGTAACATTTAATGCTAACCTAAAAAAATCGCATTTTTATTTATATAGGTACAAATTGATTTATTTTGTTTGAAACTTTATTTTTTTTTACTCCCGCCTCAAAATTTTGTTGTGAGGGCCGAAAAATCCCTGTAAGTTTTAGCTAGTTTCAAAAATTTAATATATGATTTTGTGAAGCATTAGACACATTCACAAATAATTTTAGTTTTTTTTCGGTACAGATTTCAAGAAATTAATTTTTAGTTACATTTGATTTCATAGGTTACATTGTATTTTGTTTCTCACGAGCTCGCTCATGATATTTCCATAAAAAATAAAGTATAATAATCAATTTTTTAGCTATCAACATGACGCTATTTTGTTTTCAAGTTTAAAAAAATCTATTGGAAATTTTTGGGAAATAACACTTCAGCACAAGTGTTATTTTCCATTCAAGGATTTGTTTCTAAAATTACAGTTATATGGAAATCTCAAAAAACAATTTGTTATAACTTTGTGAATTAAAATACGTTTATGCACGATGACATTATAATATGACAATTATAACGAAAATTCTTTGACGTAAACGTCTTTTTATAGCCCGCGGGCGTTATTATGACCCAGCGGGCTATAATGAAACGTCAAAAATTAAAAACAACAATGTTACACCATTTGATATATTCGAAGTAAGTTTTTTCGTATAAAGATTTTGATTTTTCCGGCAGCAGGCCGCAATTTTTTGCCTTTTCAGCTGCTTTCTCAATTTTATTCATCTTTAAACTTTAAAACTGACTGATGTCAGTTGACATTATAATATGACAATTATAACCAAAAATCTTTGACGTAAACGTCTTTAAAAACAATAATATATTAAAAATAATAATATTTTAATCGTGCATAAAGTTTTGTATGCATTGCTGGCATAACTGGTTTTTATGGTCCTACGACGCTTTTCTAGCCCTCGCGCTAACGCGCTCGGGCTCGAAATAGCGCCTCGGACCATAAAAACCTTATTATGCCCTTAATACATAAATAACTATTTTTTACTACATTGGCACCGCTGTATTTGCTGTCACGACCTACTGTTTACTTATTTATAAAACTCTTCAAATGAAAATACTATCTTAATATTAATATTAAGTACTTTTCCTTGGCGTCTAATTTAAAATACGTTTTTATTTAAATAATTACTACTAGGGTTTTAAAATTTCCGGAAAAATTGAGCCGTCGGAAAAACCGTTTTTTTTTTCGAAAAACAAAACGTAAAAATTGGTAAATTTTTTAAAAAATTGGCCTTGCATTCTTTTGATTTTATTCAAAAGGTAATAAGAAAAAATGCAAAAGTCAATTTTTCTGAAAATTTACAAATTTTTACCGATACCTACTATCCGATATCGAGAAAAAACTGTATATCCGACGCTGAATATAATTATAATAATTAAACCACATAACAAGTTAAAATAGAAATTGTTAATTTAAAGGCAGTAAAAATTTCATATCACAAAAAGTCAAGGCTCAATATATCAAGAAATATCAATCTTAGAGATTTTCTTTAAAGGAATATTTTGTAGAAAATTCCACACCTGTAATTTTTAACCAATCAAAACGTGTATTTTTGATAGATCACCATGGCAACGGTTGAATTTTAGTGGAAATTTTTTCCTCGTGGGTACCCAACAGCGAATTATACTGGAAATTTTTTGACGTTTATAATATTTTTTTGACAATCTGGTTTTTATTTGTTTACATGATAATTTTGATACATTTCCATTACAAAGTTTAGATGTTTTCTATATTCGTTGGACACCTCCTTTCTTCTTAATGGCGAAAATGCAGGACTTGAAATAAATTAAATGTCTATGTCTAATGAAATATATATAATATTTAGACACTATTCTATTCACCTTTTTTTCCATTTAGCACTTTGAGTTTTGAATAGTTAAGATGCAAATATTCGTGAACAATTCAAAACAAATTTTCTTTCTTCAAGTAGGAGCCACAATCCTCTAATAATGCGAGTAAATAAGTCATTGCACGATGATTTATTATCTATGGATTGATCATTACAGCAGACAATTTCACATTTTTTTACGTCGTGCCGCTTGACAGCTTCAAAACTGAAATAACTTTTAGGTTGGGGTTGACTTAGTTGCCATGGTAACTAAATAATCAAGTCGAGGTCAAGTTAAATCAAAAAATAAATTTTAATTATTTAAACACAATTTGGTGTGGAATTTTCTTACCGAATACCACACGAGGTCAAATTAAATCCGGAAATTTTTTCTCCCTCATGAATATTTTTAGAAAATTATCCCTCGTCTTCGACTCGGGATAATTTTCAAAATATTCATGAGCTCGAAAAAATTTCCGGAAATAATTTGACCTCTAGTGGTATTACTAGTGAAAATTTAATTTTGTATAGATTTGTCATTTAATTTTTTTTGTAAGTTTACTTATTTTTTAAACGACAGCAAAGAAACAAAAGGGTACTTTAATTCTTAGCAAAATGCATTTTTGAACGAAACAGCATAAATTGCCACTTAGTTTTAGAAATTAATGTGCTTAACATTATTGTTAAGAGCTGATTTTTTTCGACCTTTACAACAAAAAATAAATAGTGAAAAAAAAATCATCAATTATCATTATCATCATATGACATATGAATTTCTTTAACCACATCTTGCCTAACGTGAAAAAAATAATAAGTTTTAAAAACTAAAAGACGCATTGTTAAAATTACTTTAAAGTATCCACTACTAAGTATCTAGCTTCTGAGTAGGTATTGTATTCTCACCAGCACCAAGTTTGTGTAAAATTTCAGCTCCAACAGTTGAGTAAGGTTTAAAATCGATTATAAAATTTGTGGTAAAATAACGGAGCTTTTGGTATTTTATACTTATATTTATATAAGGGGACATCCATTAATTACGTGAGGCATTTTTCTGATAATTTGGACCTCCCTCCCCCTTAGTGAGATGTGGTAGACCCCCCTATCCCTCACGTGAGATTTTAGCCATTAAACTTTGTTTGCAGACAACATGTAAAAAAAAATGATTAATTTTTTTAAACAAATTTAAATAATACCTAATACATATTTTTTAAACTCAAAAGTTGACGTGAGATTTTAAATGACCCCCCATCCCTTAAAATGAGATTTGGTGAGATTTTGCTGGACCCGTTCCCTCCATTTTTGTCTCACGTAATTAATGGATGCCCCCTAAGTTATCTTTGGACTTCTCTATAAAAAAATAATCTTTTTACAAAAATTAGATTGATCCCTTGCTGCGTAAAAGTAAGAAAAACCAACACACTTTGTCATTTAATCAGTTTTTTAATATTTGTGCTACCTTTCAAATCTGTTAGTTCCCGCAACATCCCCCAGAGCTTTGTGGTGATCTCTTGTGCTCAAACACATTTTCAACTGTTTTGATAACTGAGTTTCCAATCGCGTCATCATGTCTACATCGCCGGAATCGTCGTCATTACATTCACCGGACATTACAATGTCATATCTAGAATGCAAAAATTAAAAAAATTTCTGCATTGAAAACAAGAAAAAAACTATTTACTCATTGTCCAGTTGAGATTTAGCTTCTGGAGATACAGGTATTGAGGAAAAATCAACAGGTAGACCTGCTCTTGCAGCTTCCAAAAGTTTGTCAAACCCTTTGGCTTGGCGTAAATATTCCTTAGCTTGTGGAATTTCACCTGAAAACAATTTTGAAGGCAGGTGTTTTAAACAAGAAGTGAAATTCACGAATTATTATTGAGTTCAAAAAGCGTTGGGTCTAAATAATTAGTGTGATTTTTATTCAAAAATCAATTTCTTTATAACGTATTTGTACAAGTTAATCTACTTACCTTTTTGCTTAGCTTTAAGAGCAGCTTCCTTAAACTGCTTTTGTTTGGCCAATAAAATGGCGACTTGCTTTTCAGCTCTTGATGTAGCCACGTGATTGCCTGAAAGTAAAACAATACACATAGAAAAAGCATTACAAAAACAACACATTTATTGATTTTTTTTAATGTTAATTACATTTTATATGAGTTTTTTCAACCATTTCATACCTGATTGTCTGGCCACTCCTGTGGGACTTGGCGACACTGCTGGTTTTGTGGGGGTGACTGCGGGGGGAGATGATTTGGGGGTTGCTGCTGCGCCTCCAACAGGAATTGGACCATAACCTTTACAAACAATGTATAATTAACAATTGGTTTTGGGTATTTTTACTTAAAATGTACCTGGAGGAGTTGGAAGTTCTTCATATTCTACTGGTTTACCAGCCTTGTGCTGTTTTATGGCAGTTTCAAATTGTTTAACAATTCTACCATATCTACGAGCCTTGCCGGAATTTTCTGTCAATAAAATAAAGTGTACTTTCATGAAAAACATAATTATAATCTCTTTGAAATACGCATGAAAAATACTAATTAGGTGCTAGGGTTCGCCTGATTTAAATCACGATTTAAATCAACGATTTAAATCAAGTGATTTTAAAAAAAATTCTAATCAACGATTTAAATCAGTTTTAAAAAAAGTTTCTAAAATCTAAAAGAACTCTTAAAAGATCTAAAACTAAAGCACACTATTTAAATAAATTTATAACATAAAAAACTGCTTATTTTGTTAAATAAAAGGAAATATACAGTTGCGGACGATGGTTTATTTGTTTAACAAGTAACAACAATATAATATTATAGTTATTTTTAGGATTTTTTTTAATAGTGCACTTTATTTAAAAAAGCTTACAATTTTAAAAAATCGTAATAAAAATTAAAAAGAAATTAAAATAATCATTTTTGGTTGGCTTTTATAATAAAAATCATCGATTTTTGATTTTTTTAAAATCATGATTTTTTATAACCGAATTTTTTAGGCAGACGATAGTTTTCTTGTTTTAATGCAAACTAAGGTGCACTTTACATAAATTATATATTTCAATCAAGTTTTATATTTATAAATACAATTGTAGGTAGTTGTTTCAATTTTATCATTGAAATATTTAACTTCCAGGAATCGTTAAAAATATTTAATACCCAATTAGCCATAAACTAGTGTAATGTTTAAAAACATGGTCACAAAAACTTAATAATTGTAGTATTGTACGCATTTGTAGTACATTTATAATAATCATAAAATCAAGGAAAAATGGAATTAATTATTATTATGGGTGATAAAAGGTGTCTTTTTAGTTGTATTTTGTAACAATAAAATTGCTCATAATTTTAAATATAATAGAATTCATATAAAAATAAAACAATGTAGGTATTTAAATCAGATCCTAGGGGTTAAAGTTCTGGTTTTAAGATTTTATTATAATAATAATAATTATATATTATAACTTTGTTAAAATGTTTATTTTACTATAAGAAAACTGGTTTGGCAAAAGTTAACTTCTAATTTAATTGAAGCAGTGCATTTTAGAACTGACGCATTTTTTGTAGAAATACGATGTTGTATAAAGCTTGCAAAATAAATAAAAAATTTAATTAAAAAAAATTTGCTTATAGAGGATGTTAATGCTAATATTCTTTTTATAAACAATGTTTTTCTGCGACTTTTTTTAAATTAAATCGCGATTTCTTTGACAAATATAGACCGAAAGACATACATACTATCGCTAACAAAAAAAACTCATACAGCTTAAAAATCTAGTGTTCCTGATTTTCTATTATTTGGTTGGAGTAATTATGGCTTTTAACATGATACATCACATTTGAAAGGTCTAAAATTAAATACAAAGTTAGGTTGAAGTTTGAAAAAAAAAATAATATTTCGTCATCACTCTTTCTTGTCAATAATTATTACTGCCTGCAAACTGCAAAGCATGGACGTCCCCGTCTTGCTTTATCTTGTTCCAAATGGCTTCAATGGCTTACCAGAGTTTGTCAGCATTGTTTGGTTGAAAATGTTGTTAAAAAAGTCATAATGGATGTGACAAAGCTCGATGTCAGCTTGACATTGACGGAAAAGTTTTATTCACACAGCCACAACACAGCTGTATGAGTTTTTTTTGTTAGCGATAGTAAGTAGTCTCAATAAGCGTGGGACCTTAATAATCGCACTTATAACCTAAACAGTTGCACATTTGTTGTTAATTTAACAGGCTTTAACATCGGCGGAAAAAAGTGTGCTACAAAGTATTGAGTTGAGAAGTAGTAGTAGTAGTAAGAAGATTTACATGACAACTAGGAACTATGCTCCACACCCAGAAATCCTACCCTGACATAATTTGAATACAAATAATTGAGGTTATTTATCTGTCAGTATAACGCTAATTTCGTTACATAATACTATATAATATATAATATGTATGATTTTAATCGCAATTTAAAACGGTTGAAGTAAAAAATTATACAAATTAATTAATTTGTTAGAAACCAGATGAAGTACTATCCCACTCTAATAAAATCTATTTTTTATCGTATAAATCACATACCTAATAACAATAAAATTTAAAATTTATTGTCAAGTTTATATTATTGGATATGTTACCTATTTATTTTTTAGTTTACTTTTATTTTGTTCTAAGAAAAGTTCTTATTGTTTATACTTCTATTGTAGGTATATTGATTATTTGAAATAATTATTAAATAATTTATTTGTTTTGAATTTGAATTATCCTTCAAAGTGTATAGTTTTATTTAAAAAAATACAAGTTGGTTAAAGTAGAGAAAAGTTGCCCAAAAAATTGTCATTTTAAAGTTAAAAAGTAATCTGCGTTTCCCAAATATTACAAAAAAAGAAAAACCTTTTAAAACCAAAAATCCTTATAACTTTGTTATTTCTAAAAAAATTGAAACAAAGTAACATACACGTTAATCTACTAATTCTACTAGATTCCTTGATTTTTTTTTTATCTAACCATGTACAATTACAATATGGCGGCCACAGGAAAAACATAAGATGGTGATGATATCTTAAAACTAATAGGCAAAAAAAATCACAAATTGGATAAAAATGTGGAGAAATGTGTATGTTTACATGTAAAACTTAGGTACTTTTTTTCAAAATCCTAGGAATAACGAAGATATAACAACGATTTTTGGTTTTGACAGGTTTTCAGTTTTATTCAAATTAGGTATTTGAGAAACGCAGATTTTTTTCAGTTTTTAAATGCCATTTTAATAGACTTGTTATTACGCAACTTTTGTCTAATTTAACCGACCTTGTAAAGATACCCATACATAGAAGGACACTTGGTGCACCCTGTATACTCATACAAGTTAAATAATAAATTTGTCCTAATAAAAGGACAACATACTTCAGACGAAAAGGTTGGGTGGCTACTGAGGCCAGATTTTTTTTTACATTGTGGAACTATTAACACAAATTGTATACTAAAAATCAACTAAACTTGAGACAGGCCGATTTAAATAAAAAAAAAATCCGATTTAAGGGAGAAAAGTAGGCCGTGACAGCGAATTCAGCGGTGCCAACGTAGTAAAAATAAAACGTTGTATTTTAGTTAACAAATTAATACCTACTTTATTACAAATTAAAGTATACTTAATTAGTAATTACAAATTTAAAACAACATAAAAAGTAAATAGGTATTTCTTAAGTTCGCAGCACAAAATTTGAAATGACAATTCTAATAAGTGTTAAAAACAACCCTGTTTTTGTGTATAAAGGTCTTAATTTAGAACACAAAATATACAGATATTGTATAATTTTTAGAAAATAAGAGGCAGTTCGCGTTAAAATGACAGATATCTAACCTCAATTATTTGTATTTAATTGTCAAGGTTGGACTTTTGGCTGTAGAGTATTATCAGTATCTTACTCAATGGTATTATCCTATAAATTATTTAAGAATCTATTATAAATTTTTTTGATGAAAGATAAAAAATGTAAACTAAAAGACTAAAAATTTGTAAATACACTTAAGTAACCATTAGGTATTCTTGGAAAAAATGCTAAATTATATAAATTATAACTTTTAATTTCAATAACAGAGATTGGAAAAAACTACTATTAAAGAAATCTTACCTTCTTGTTTAGCCTTATTTTCCTGTTCTTTATAAACAGCCAACCTTTGTTCCAAAGCTTCCAAAACAGAAGACGCAACAATCAAAGTAGGCTCAGGCAAGGGCTCAGCTGCAGCTTCATCTACACCTGGAATATCTGGAGGACTTTGCCTTTGAACCCTATTCTCTTCCACAGCTTCTGCTGCAGCTTCACCAGGTGGCCCTGGCATTTTTGACAGATCAACAGGTTGCCCAGCTTCGACTGCAGCTATCACCGAGTCAAATTGCTTGGCTGTTTTTATGTATTTCATGGCCGTTTGAGCGTCGCCGGTTTTTTTAGCGTTCAGTGCAGCTTTTTTGTATTGAAGTTTTCTGTCGTTTAGGAGTTCTAGAAGTTCAGTGTTTATTTCCTTTGTTATTTGGGGGACAGGGGGTTCAGTTGCTTCTGGAGATGGTTCTACATGTGCCAGTGGAGGATTTGAGTCAATGGGACTAGTTGCTGGGGAAGTTTCATCACCTTCAGCTGGTATGGGTTTTCTAACAGAAAAATGCACTTCTGGTGGTATATCATCATTATTAACTGGGCTACCAGCTTTAGCTTGTTTAGTGAGATCCTTAATTGTTTTTAGAGCCCTTCCATATCTTCTAGCTTTACTAATTTCACCAGCTTCTTTAGCACTAGCCTCAGCTTCTTCATACATTTTCAACCTTGCTTCCAGAATACTTAAAACACTAACTGAATCACTTAGTGCAGGTTTTGCATATTCAGGGCTAACCTCTGGTGTGGCTTCTTCTAAATTAACCTCCCCACCTGCCAAATCCTGCAATTCGTTGAGCAAATCAGGATCATCATCATCACCAGACAGCTCTTCATCTGATGGTATATCTCTAATGCTTTGTGCCACCATGGCATTTAAATCTGTTTGCGGCAGAGCCTTTTTTCTTTGAGGTCTTTTGGGTTTTGCACCACCCCCGCCACTAAGAGCTGCTAATTCAGCCTCCAAATCACTGTCATTGCCTTCATCGTCCATGTCCATGCCTCCATCATTTGTCATGTCAAATAAACCATACTAAAATATTAACAAATCATTAATAAAACTTAAAAGGTGTAATAAAAGTAAATATTTACTTGGGAAAGGTTTTTTCCAGAATGATCTCGCTTTGGGCGATCTGCTTTTTTCTTTCCAAACATTGTAACCAACACAAAGACACTTATTTTTAAATAAAAACCACTTAAAAAACAATTATTTTAAGCCAAAGAAGAATAATAATTCCAAACAGAAAGGATTATTTTTATAAATGAGTCAACAATCAAAATCCAACGATCATAACATTTCAAGAAACGTCAAATTCTTTAAATTGCGGGATCTGTAACTAATGTGTCGCCATCTATTAACATGTATACCAAGCAATTACAGTTATATTCATATAATATTATTATAATACAGTTATCTTTATATACCATAATAGCCTTTAATCGTTGTGGAGAAGTATATATATATATATATTAATATTTATCAATGATTGATTAATCATTGATTAACTTGACTTAACGCTTTGATTTAAAGGCTATTAACACCAAATATGATGTATTATGCTTGGTATAAATGTTAATAGATGGCGGCACTATAGTAATAACATATACCTATAATATAGTTATATATAATATATACATATATACATATATATATATATATATATATATATATATATATATATTAGGGTGAGCCAAAAAAACTAAAATTTCCCTGCAAGGCAAAATTTTTTGCTCAATTTTAAAAGGTGTCGGTGAGCATTCTAAGTTTTCCATTGAAATAACACGTAAAAAAATCTTTTTTCATTAAAAAGACTATAACTTTTGAACCGTTTGAGATAAAATTTTTTACGTCGCGGATTCTTGTAGAGCATAAAATTTCCCAAAGAATTTATACCAGGATTATTTTTTTTAATTCAAAAATTCGTATGTTTGAAAGCTTTGAAAAGTGTAAAAAATCCCTAAAACTGCAGTTTTTGTGATTTTAACCCATAAATCCGATAGGTTAGTTTTTTTGGCTCACCCTAATATATATATATATATAGTTATAGGTATATGAGTAATAATCCCTTAGAAGAATAATCCACATACTGTGTGGATTATTACCTTCTTTAATATTATGCCGAGTAGGTATTATACTATCGCTAACAAAAAAAACTCATACAGCTATATTGTGGCTGTGTGAATAAAACTTTTCCGTCAATGTCAAGCTGACATCGAGCTTTGTCACATCCATTATCATAATGGCATTATGACTTTTTTAACAACATTTTCAACCAAACAATGCAGACGAACTCTGGCAAGCCATTGAAGGCTTCAATTTGAAGCCATTTGGATCGAGATAAAGCAAGGGCGACTTCCATGCTTTGCCGTTTGCGGGCAATAATTGACAAAAACAGAGGGATGACGAAATATTATTTTCAACTTCAACCTAACTTTGTATTTAATTTTAGACCTTTCAAATGTGACGTATCATGTTAAAAGCCATAATTACTCCAACGAAATCATTCGTCGAAATGATAGAAAATCAGCACACCTGGCCCCTGAGGATTTAAGATCGATAAAAATGGTGAGAAGAACTACTGCTACGGATCGATTCTACATATATTTACGAACATTTTCCCGCAAACCGCATGAATCAAGCCGCTCGGTTTTGTCAGTTACGGGCAATTTACGGTTTACGCGCAATGAACTCAATTATAATGCCTAATAAAAATTTTAGCGGAATGGCAGGCGGCGCTGGTAAGTTTGGAGACCAAGTTGTCAACGTGACGTTTAATATTTCTTTGCGTGGCTTATTATATCCTATTATATACTAATCTAAAATGACCTTACCTAGTGATCACGAAAATAACAGACTGAAGGTTTGTGCTTGTTGTGGTAAAAAAATATTTCCGGGCAACAGAAAGTTATATTCTTATAATATAAGTGATAAATGCGCTGAGTTAATTAGAAAGTATATAAATAAAAAGTTTGATATCAATGACTCAAGATTTCCACGAAGTATTTGTAATTCTTGTCGAAATACAATGTATGAATATGATAAAAATGATCTTAAGCGCTCATTACCGGTTATGCCTAAGTTTGAAAGTATAATTCTAAGAAGATGTAGTAGTGACTTGTGTAATTGCTATATTTGTTTGGAAGCACGGAATACCAGTCACATTAGCACCAAGAAAGGTAGAGGCAAGAAACGTAATTTTAATCGAAAAATCGCCCCTTCAAACGGGCGATATGCTTCATCATGTGTCAAAAAACTTGGAGCTGTTGACGTGTCTACTGAGAAATGGCGGAAGGATAAAAACTTGACTACTTTGGTTTGCAAAAACTGTTTTAAAGAATTACAAGGATCTGGTAAATATCACAAATGTCCGGGTGCCCGAAGTGTGCATAATAATTTAGCTAAATTGGTGGAGGCAACTCCTGACTCCGTTGTAGACAAAATCACTGTTAATTTATTAAAACGAAAACAAAATGATGGTTGTGATTCAGCACATTCAAAAAATGAAATATTATTACAAACACATGGTTCAAAAAAATTGAGAGTCCAATTTAATTCTAAAAAAAAACGGACATTTGCTTTTTAAGCCAAGACTTAGATGATTACCAGAATCATATGGGTTTGTCTAATAACAACATGAAAAAAATGACAAGTTTTTTAAGGACTCATGCTGGGAAGAATTCTGTTCCGAAAAAGTATAGAGAACACGTTGTTGACAAATCTAAAATATTTGGAGATATTTATAAACATTCTAACCATGATTTTGAGGTTGATAATTCTAAATCCAAGAAAAGTAGGCATGTAGTCTGGGCTGATGCCACTGAATTGTTAGAAGCAGTGCTGACCAAAAGGAATATAATTGGTAATTACGCAGTTAAAATATTGGCTGATGGAGGTCAGGGATTTTTTTAAATATCTTTATCTATTTTTTCTGAAGATTATGTGCACAGTAAAAATGAAAGTGATGAATCAAACCAGTATTTCACAAATTCATCAGCAAAAAAAGGATCCATAATTAAAGATCTATCACCGTCCAGCGTGTTTAAAATTATAATGTTATGCATTGTTCCAGATATTAAAGAAAGCTATGAAAATGTAAAATTATTGTTTGACCTCACAAAAGTTAATAATATTTCTTGTAAATTTGTATCAGATTTAAAACTTTTATTAATAATTAATGGACAACAAACTGCCGGATCGACATATCCATGCCCGTATTGTTTCATTTCCTTAAAAGACTTGAGAAAGGGTTGCAAAGAATTCAGTGTGAAAGAAGGAGACGATATTTTTGTTATTATCAGTACCGATACTGATTCTTCGAAAGCCGATAATGAAGTGAAAAGGCTGAAAACCTACACTGATTTAAATGCAGATTATTTGAGATTCTGTGATATTGGCAAACATGATAAGAAAGAAGCCAAATTTTATCACAGTACAATTCATTCCCCTCTGTTTGAGGAAAACGCTAGTCTTTCGGTACTGGAGAAATGTCCCGTACCAGAACTACACCTATTGCAGGGTTATGTAAACCATATATTCTGGAATGGTTTAGTCAAGATAGTGGGTAAAGAAAAAGCATTAATTTGGCCAAAGAAATTAAAACTGGTATCAAAGAATTATCATGGAGAAATATTTGAGGGAAACGCTTGTCGTAAACTTCTAAAGAATGCTGATATGCTTGATGATTATGAAATTTACCAAGAAGTTGGAGAATTTCGATTACGACCTCTTATTAATGCATTTAAAGCAATGGATAAAGTTGTCAATTCTAGTTTTTCCACGAGGCCAGTAGAGATCGCACGCCTGCATACCTACATTGAAGAATTGAAAAAAGCCTTTATTGCCACTGATATTTCTGAAACTTTAAAAATTCATATATTGCTTAATCACGTTGAGCAATGTGTATCATATTTAAATTATTCAGGTTTAGGATTGTGGTCTGAACAGGCTGGCGAATCCATACATCGCGAATTTGTCAAATACTGGAACCGTTACAAAATGAATATGATGGATGATTCTGGCTATGCAGAACGATTAAGAAATGCAGTGGTTGACTTTTCATCAAAACATATATAGTCAACAAAACAGATCATGATATATTTATATTGATCATTATTATTTTTCTGTAATATCTATTTGTTGTTTTAGATTTTCTTGTATTCGGATATTACATTGTTACTATTTAATAAATAAATAATGGAATATGTGTTCATACATTTTTTTGTAATTTTTAAAAACACAGGCCCACAAAAAAGTTGTCTGAACGGGGGGTGTACTTTTCTTTTTCACTTTGAACACGAATCTGAAATAAAAATTGGGTTGTTGGTCATATTTCTGAGAAAAGCCAAAAACCAGTGAAAATCCCTACTTTCAGCTGTTTTTTTCCGTTTCCCCCCATTTTTGACAGCATATTAGTATTCAGCGTCGAAAAATACAAAAGGAAACATAGTCACATCCCTCGTTCAGACAACTTTTTTGCGGGCCTGTGTAGTACACAGTGTGGAAGTGCGCGTAAATCGTAATTTGCCCGTAACTGACAAAACCGAGCGGCTTGATTCATGCGGTTTGCTTGAAAATGTTCGTAAATATATCTAAAATCGATCCGTAGCAGTAGTTCTTCTCACCATTTTTATCGATCTTAAATCCTCAGGGGCCAGGTGTGTCAGGAACACTAGATTTTTAAGATGTATGAGTTTTTTGTGTTAGCGATAGTACCTACTTATATTAGAGGAACAAATTTTTTTTAGAAAACTAAAAATAAACTAAGCAATATTAGGGTGTTTAGTTTATACCAGGAATAACAAATAGATATAAAATAGCTAACCTGCTGTGGCTTAGGCAGGGGGGGTTAGGGGGTTTGAACCCCACCCCCCTGAAATGTGTTTGTTTTAAGATTTTTTAGAAATCCCAACAAGCTTATGATTTTTAAAGTATCATTTTAAATTTTAGCAGTAGGTAGGTATGTAGATAAGTATAATATAATATAGATGTTTTTTAAAATGACGCTATCAAGTGTCAAAGTGTTCTTTGGTATTCCTATAAGAATATACAGTATACTATAAGAATCTGACAGTGTTCTTTAAACAGATTACTTATATTTAGAAGTTTTAACCACAGAAGGACAACTTCTGTGCTTTAACTCCATAGAAATATTAATGAATGGGGGGTGCATAAGAACTTTGCGTGTATACAATGTCTCTGAGTGACTAGTCACTCCCGGGAGTCGACTTTCTATCCGCGGTGGCTTTGTGTGCGTATGTATGCGAATTTCGCATATAATATGTGGAGCATAGATAATCATGTAAAGTAGAAAGTCTCTAGAGATCCTAAATATTATCTTCTATAAAACCG